TTCCACTTTCTCCTGACTGTTGGATGTTCTCACTCCAGAGGAACTAATACAGAAACCTTAAAGTGACAGAGGTCAACATAAGGGGATCAAGAACCAGTGTAAAGATCAGTTAGAGATGAATCAACCTGGGTTGTAACACATTTGTACATGAAAGCAATGCTAGGAATCTCTCTGTATAGCTATCCTTATCTCAACTAGCAAAAATGTCATGTCTTTCTCATTATTACTTATTTCTACTCTTCAACAGAACTGGAGAAAAGCACAGAACAGGTTCTGCCTGAAAGGGAGCGGGGAGAGGGGGAGAGGATAGGGGAGGGGGCAGGAGGGAGAAGTGACCCAAACAATGTATGCGCATGTGAATAAATAATAAAAAATAAAATAAAATAAAAATTACTGTTTACATAAAAATGTCAGTATAGAACATTCATGATTAGGTAGATAATTATAACTGTAGCAAGTGAGGGGGGAGTTTGTGTGTGTGTATGTCTGTGTGTGGTTGGGGGTAGTATATGAATTCTATTTTATTGTTTAATTTCAACGAAGCCAAATAGGAGTCTGAACCTCAAAGGAAAGATCCAAGAAACAGTGTGGATTGAGAAGGGCAAAGAGCAGATGGCATAACCCTGAGCAATGCAAATGTTACTTAATGACAGAAGTTGGAGTAAAAGCCTATCTACAAGAACAATAAGAGTGATCATAAAGATAGAAACACAGTCAGATAGAAACCTCCTACAATAGGAAACAGATATATGATTTTTACCATGAAGATATTTTACATCATGTTTTCTAATGACTTAAATAGTCAACTGTAGACGTGGCAAAACAGAAATAAATGCTAATACTCTGACCATTGACACTCCCTATAGTTTGGAGATGGTTTGATTGTGCTTCCCTGCAAAGTTTCATGTTAAATCTTGGTCCTGATTGTGGAACTAACTGGAATTAGCAGAATCTTTAAGAGGTGGGACTTTGTGAGAGATCTTATGGTCATTGTGGGCTGAGGTAGTCCTCATGTGACCCACCTCTGATAGATTTTATGAAACTCCTTGAGTACTCATGGAAGGACTGTCATAAAAGGAGCAAGCCTGGCCCCCTCATCCTCTCTGCTTTCTGGTTCAAGATGTGACTGCTTGCTCTGACATGCTCCAGCCCTTGCAATCCACCAAGATGCAATACTGCCAAGAGAGAGAGCCCTCCCAGATCTGAGCCAATGCAAGCACCATGCCTTTGAACTCCAAAGCTGTGAGCTAAAAAACCTTCTTTTGTTCATAAAAATAAATAAAAAGCTTGTAGGGAAATGCATGCTGAGTATTTCATCAAAGTAGACTCTGATTTTGCTGTCCTCTGGAAACAAATGTAGGAATTGAACATTTACAGAAACTGGGCATTTGTTCAAATGCAATAGCACAGAGTTTACTATTTTTTTCTAGAGAAAAAACAAGACTTACAGCTCAGGTTTTCATTCTTATTTAGGGTCAATCTTAGCATCAGAAATGTTTTGTCAGCAATTTGTTATAAATTACTGACACCTATGTTGTGTGATACACTATGAAATCTACATCATCAGCCATTAGGCTCTGTTGAAACAATAAACAATTGCAATCCAATTTAATACAATAGCAGAAATATGAGCTTGGTTTAAAGAAAATATTCCCCTCCTCCGACATTGGTTTTCTGTTAAGTGGATGGGTATGGTGAAGGGAGAGGTGACTGACTGCTCTGCTATGTGGGGTAGCTCCTCCAATTAACAAGATGGCTCTTAACCCTTCAGGGGATCAGTAGAAGGAAAGCCAGGTTGATCCATTTGTGGATAATTCCTTTAAAATCCTTTTGAACCTGGTTCCTTCTTTGCATCCCAATGTCTTCCTGGTTCTCCTTTTCCTTATTAGAGTATGCTGCCAGGTAGACCTTTGGACAAAGTCTCTTTAAGTTGATATCAAGCCAATTTCTCTTTCTCTCTCTCTCTTTTTTTTGGTCTGTGACTCAGTTATCTACTGGCTGCTCATCTTCTCTTTCTTTAATTTTTTGTAGTCATGAGAAATAAATATCAAAGCTTTCAAATCGTTTCTGTATTACTATAGTAGTGGTATGAACTTCTCATAACACCTAGCAACTATCAATACGAAAAGTTTTCCTGGAATTTCTACCCTTAATTGTTTTGACTTTCCCTGACTTCCTTTACTTCTTAGAATGGAGGAAGAAACAAGGGATAGCAAACCTTATGAACAAGTCCTGTATTGTTGTTCAGGCACTTGGATTTAGCAAAGGTGCCATGAAACAGCTTGAGAAAGTTAGAAAGAAATTCTCATAAACTGAGAAGGGATATGAAAACTCTAAAAACTTCCATATTATACTCAGAATAAAGTATTTATATGTACATTTTATTATAAAGCTTTTAGGTAAACCTCCTCAGAATTTTACCTCTCAGCTTTGAGAAGGAGAAATGAAAGTTACTTCCATTTTTCCTGGACAGGAGGCCAATTATTTCAACATACAGCAAGTGTGAGTCACAACTTCTTAACTTTTAATTTTAAAAAATCCCAGTGTTTTTTCTCATGAGTTTTAAATGCTGGTCACTATTTTTTTGGTGTTGGCTTTATTGAGATATATTTCACATATCACATAATTCACTCATTTAAAGTATACAATTAAATATTTTAATATAATCATGAAGTTGTACAGCAATTCAATTTAGAACATTTATCATCTATAATGGAAATCCTGTTGACTTCAATTATCAGCATCTTATGCCTCATACCCAGACCTAAACAACCAGAGATCTGTTTCGTCTCTATGTGTTTACCTATTCTGAACACGCCAAATAAATAGAGTGATACCACATGTAGTCTTTTGTAATGTTTTTAAGGTCAGTTCATTTTGTCAAATGTACAAGTACTTCATTCCCTTTTATGGCCAAATAATATTCCATTGTGTAATGGACTAACTGTTTGTTAATCCACTCATCAGTTGGTCAGTGGTGATTTTGGTGATTTTTAATAGTGCTGCTACTCACATTCATGTATAAGTATTTGTGTGGACATATGCTTTTATTTCTCTTGGGTATATAACTGGAAGTAGATTGCTCAGTCAGTGATAATTCTATTGTATAATATTTTAAGGACCTTCCAGATTTGTTTTCCAAATTGGGCATATCATTTTACATTTTCATATCAGTGTATGTGACTGACAATTTCTCTACATCCTGAGATCACTTGTTCTTGTCTGACTTCTTTTCTGCAGGACTGAGGATTGAAGCCCAGAAGCCATGCATTCAAGTGTAAAGTGGTATGTCATTGTGGTTTGATTTGCATTTATTTAATGACTAATATTGTCATACGTCTTTGCATGAACCTATAAGTTGTTCCTATGTCTTCTTTGGAGAAATGTCTATTTGGAACCTTTGTTCTTTTTTAAAGTTGTGAGTTATAAGAGTTTATTATATATTTTAATACAACTCTTTTACCAGCCAGATGTAGTGGTACACACCTGTAATCCCAGCATTCAGGAGGCTGAGGCATAAGGGATGTGAGTTTGAAGCTAGCCTGGGTTACATGGTGAGACCTTGTCTCAAAAACAAGCAAACAAGAAAAAATTTCCCTTATCAGCAATATGCTCTATAGGTATTTTCTCACATAGTCTGGACTGCTTTTACCTTCCTTGAAAGTATGCTTTGAAACATGAAAAAATTAAATTTTGATGAAATCCAATTAGTGTATCTTTTTTCTGTGTCTGTGCTTTTAGCATTCTATCCAAGAATCTACTGCCAAATTCATGATCATGATGATTTAAAAACTTTTGTTTTCTTATGGAGATTCTAATCCTAAATTTTACCTATTTTAGTTATCATATTTTCATTAAATATTTAAAACAAATCTTCTGGCCAAAAAACTTTTTTTTTGTAGTGTTGGAAGTGAAACCCAGTTCTTGCACATGTGAGGCAAATACTCTACCACTGGGCCACCTTATCAATGCCAGTGGTCAAGAAGATTTTTTAACTAAAAAATGTGGCCTGAAATACAAGAACATCCAGTGTATATACATCTAACATTTCCTGTTCAGTATCCCCAAACTCTGATGAAACAAGAGCTGATGGAGTGGCTGTGTAAAATCAGCATCACGATCAGCAGAGTCTTAACGCTTGTGTGTTCTATTGCTTTGAGTTTTAGCTACGATTTTGTAACTTTTCTGAATGTAAAAATAACATGTTTTAAAGTGAACAATTGCAAAATATAGGAAAATATAAAGAATTTGAAAATATTTAAAAATTTTTGACTCTATTAACCTCACACCACATAGAATTGTTCTGCCATTGTTTACTTTTCTCTAAATCTTTTTTTTATAAACACTTATGTCTTCCTAGATAATTTGCATATGCAATTTTGTAACCTAATATTGTCCAATTTTTTGCATGTACACATTGCCTCTTCACTACATTAGAAACTCCACAGTAGGATTTGTTTAAACTCTAAAACTTTTTACTCTTTTGCAGAATATGGTACAGTTACTGTTTTAAGGGCTGTTCAGTATTTGATGGATATCTAGATTCATGTTAGAGGACTTATAAATACTTATTATGCTTGTTACAAGCAGAAATAATAACAATTTTTTTCATGTGCATAAGTAATGATAATAATATGAGGACAGACTACCAGAACCTCTCTATTTCCTCTGTAATAAAATTGATTCAGAAAGCTTCAAAATTATCTTACAAATTAAAAAAAAACTAGAAGAGGTTAGTTAGAATTAATTACTTAAGTGAAGATATATATTCTCTTTCTTTGTAAATTTTTGAATAAGAGACCAACATGTTTTAAAAAGTGAAGCATTATTTGGTCAGTACATAAATTTCTGAGCTTCTGAAAATCAGAACTCTTAATAAACTGAGTTAAACATCAGTCGGAAGACTAAAAACAATTTTACAATTGGGTACCTAAAGGGTAGCCAATAGTGTTCATATCTAATTACTTTTAAGAATCCATTCAAGGAAACAAGTGCTTATTTCATTCACATATGGGATATTCAAATTTCCCTTCCTTACAGATTGCTTGGAATGACTGCACTGATGTTTTTGCTTTGAATGTTGATTTACAGGCGAATTCAACAATGTTCCCTGTTTTTACATATATTCTTTTGTTGCTTTTCCATTTTAACTGTATGTTATTTTTGTTCATGTTTTCTTCTGATATTACACATGCATCTAAAAGAAGAAATAGTAAAATAAAGTAAATAAATAATAATATATCTTTCCCTTTCATAGGAAAGTACAATTTCATTTAAGAGTATTTTAGCATTCTATAATAGGATGAAAGATTAGTAGTAGCATCTATTTCTTGAGTTATGCCAGGTACCATTTCTTAGCACTTAGTTAATTCTAAACACCATGCACTATTTCCCTGGACAAAAAGAATAGTTTCCACGATGTACACAGCTTGAACATTGCAAAGGTAACAGTTTAATAACAACCATAGTAAAGTCCATTTATTTTTCTATTACAGTGCAGAAAGTGAATTGTAAATGTACGGTATATCTAAAAACCAATCACCCTTTTGAATATTCATGTAACATATTCTTCAATGAGACTTGAGATTCTACCAGCTTTATTGTTGCTTAAGCCTCTTTTCTGTGACCTATCTTTTGTGAAATCTGGAGTTCTACAGGAAAAACAACACTATCTTCCCCCCACTGGTCTCTGACTCCACTCACTCTTAAAATTTTTTTTTTATTATTGTTGTACTGGGGGAATTTTGTGACACAAAAATTCTTACAATATATCATATTTGAATTTACCTCCTCCATCATTCTCCTTTATCTCCCCTTGCCCCATTCCTGGAAGAGTTTCAACAGGTCTCATTTTCACATTTATATATCTGCTCATTCTTAAATTCAGCATTTAAAAAATTGAGAGATAGTATTCATTTAGGCAAATAGCTCATCATGGTGTACTGCTAAGTAATATGTTCTCTTCAACCCATAATGTCTGATACAGGAATTGTTTAGAAGATGCTGAAATAATCCCATGGATGCACTTAAGGAGACCTCCCAGGAAATAGAAACCAACAGGAACTATTGTACAGAGATTTATCTGTGTCCAGGATGTTTCTAAAAATTTTCCAGATTATACATGGCAGACCAGTTCCTGACTGTCAAGGTTAAGTTGAATGTTTTTCTCCCTGATGTTCTGTAGACATGGAGAGACCAGAGAACACAGGTATAGATCGCCTGTGTCTGAACCCAAGCTCCACCAAATACTCACCAGATAACTTAAGCAAAACGCTCAAGCTTTTTGTGCCTCAGTTTCTTCAGCTGTAGACACAGATGTTAATACTAAACACATAGATTATTGACAGAAATCTAGGTAATTTCTATTTTTAACTGTTTTCTTAAATACATTTTCTGGCAGTTCCTTGCAAAAATGCATTTAAAAATTAGTTTTCCAGAAATAAAAAAAATCAGGCTAAGGAACATGTATCTTTAAAATGTGAGGCTTAGTTCCAAACATGCCTCAAATATTTTGGCCTAATTTATAATTTCTATAAAAGAAAATGAGAATGCTTAACTCCCTGGCCCATGCCAAAATTTTGGATTATATATGTTGTCAAAGATTATATACATGTTTTTTTCTTTCAGCCAATCGAACATTTCCATCACATTGAAAGTTTATAAACGGGCTTGGTGTTATGTGCCTATAAGTCCAGCACAAAAAAATTGAGGTAGAAGAATTGTGAGTTCAAGGCCAGCATGAGCTATATAGCAAGATCCTGTTTCCAAAAAAGAAAAAAATAAAAGAAGTTTTATATAGGTGCAAGGATTTTCTTCATGTGCATATGTCATAGATTTTTCATTTTCTGTTTATGTACCTTACATATTTTTCTACTAAGTTTTTATTGATTTGTAGGAAATCTTACATGTTAAGCACTGGAAATTCCCCCCTTAAATTGTAGAGAGATTAAAAAAACTTTTTCATCTTCATTTTTTTGGTCCAAGTTTTCTTGCTTGCTATTCAAGATTCTGCTTGGTCTCTGGAAGAATCTTAAACAACTTCTCTAGATTCTTACTTTTTCATTTTTAATACAACCAGGTGTTCATAGACAACTGATCTTTAAAAAATATTAAAAATATGCTATTAAAATATTTTCCTGACTCCTTAATACATTAAAAAAAAGTAAAGAAGTTTATATCTAGCTTTGAAAAAAGCTGTTTCTCTAGAGCCATCAATTGTCTATCTTCAATTGCATGGAAAATTGCTAAATCAGTTTTCCATAAATACTTCTCGTGACTATGGTGGCTTTGTTGTTATTTGGTCAGCTAGTTTATTTTTATTGTTATTGTTTGTTTATTCATGTTTGCTTTCCTTCTAGGTATTGTTTCTCCTTACTAGCAAGCCATTCCTCACAAGTCTGATAGTCAAGATAGCCTACATAGTTGAGGTTATAATTTTCATCTCACCTTACTTCTGGAAAATTAGTTTATGGCATTTTCCCATGATAATTTCTACCTACTCCAATTTTTGGACTATGTAAAACTGGTCTGTATTTACCATCTTAAATAATGGTATATTTATCTATTCATCAGTCACTCCAATGAAAATCCTAGAAGTGGCCTTTGAAACCTAGGATTTCTTCATTCTAACAACACTGGTCAGATGCTATGTCTGCTTTTCTCCTGCTCTGCACGTTCTATGTTCAGTTTCCATGTTGCTGTGATGACATCATGCGAAACAGGACTCACGCAAACTGTCTAGTGGCTTAAGAGACAGTATAAGCCATAACAGCATCAAGGTAATTTGTCATTACAGAAGGTTAGAGAAAGTGACCTAATGAGAAGAATGAGGTTGCAGAACTATAAGCAGCTTCTGGGCTGGTCCTGGGGATGAAATGCTTGGCACCACTGAGAACCACTGCAGGATAGGACCTTATTAACACAGTGTCACACAGTGGATACTAGCAAGCAGAGGGACCTATGGAGTGCTGGTTTTCTCCCATTTAATCTAGAATAAACTGGTGTTCATGTTTTTGCTGTTGTTGCCATAAAACCGAGGCCCATATCAATTGTATTTTATCCCTTTTAGTAGGTAAGACCAGGAATGGAATTTCCCCTTAAGCCTTGAATGTGGCTCTCCAAATTTTGCTTAAGGGTGAACTATGTTCATTTTCTTAAAATGTGGATTTGGAAAGATAAGAATTTAAATAATGGTGTCCTAATACTGAGGAAGGAAAGAAGGTTAAAGACAGGATAGTGTCTATATTTTGGATCTAAAATGTCCCCCCCAAGGGGGACATGTGTTAAAGGTTTCACCCTCAGGTTGTCACTATTGGGAAGTGGTTGAAACTTTAAGAGGTGATGCATGGGAAATGGTTAGGTCCTAGGGAGTGGTCCCTTGAAGGGGATTGTGGGAACCTAGTCCCTTCCTCCTCCTCTCTTTCACTTTCCCACCATGAAGTAAATAGATTTGCTTCATTACAGGTTCCTGCTGTGATGTGTGGCTTTACCACAGGCTCAAAAGCAATGGGGCCAGCCAACCACAGATAAAAACCTCCAAAACTGGAAGCCAAAATAAGGCCTTTCTTTCACTTTATATAGTTTGTTCAATTTTCACTTCATAAGTTTGTTACAGTTTTCACTTTGTATGTTACAGTAGCAAAAAACAGTAATGGAATGAAATATAAAGGGATCAGCTTGCTAACTCTTCTAGTTTTTCTACCTTTCTTGATAGAAACATACAAGGAAAAAGCCTTGCTAGTGGTGGTGGCCCACTAAAGTGTTTTATACGGGAAAGCATTCTGGCTCACAAGTAGGACCTCATCAAATAGTAAATAAAATTTTCCTAAATCAATGTCTTGAAAATGGTCTCTAAGAGCAACTCTCAGGTAGATGTTTATAATGTGAAGATACTTAATGGTGTGAGATTAAGTCCCATGGAAAATAATATTGGGTATATATGGAGTCTCATAATTTATCTGATCATACTTAGGTCTCAAAAATTTACTTGTATTTTTTAAAGATACATTTTCTCCTTTCTTATTTGTTTAAAGCTAAGTTTTTGAAAATTTTTCATTATGTATTTGCATGTGATAGGAAAGCTTTTAGCTGCATGAAACTTAAAGATTATTCCATGATATTAGTCCATACTAATCCATTATAAATATTAAACCTCAGACAGCAGGAGGATATTAAAAACTCACCTAGGCATTTTGGTGGTTGGGACCACTGTCCATTGCTGCACGTTATGACTGCGGAGCCCTGGAGTTCATAGAAAGACTGGCAGCGGTAGTTAACTGTTGATCCTGGAGGGTAGGTTTGTAAGGGGAAAGAGGTGATATCTCCATTGCTAACAGGTGGAGGGGGCCCACAGGATTGTGCAGATTCTGGAAGGTAACATTGATTTGTTGAGAGATAAGTTTATCTTAAATGAAATAATATGAAGAAGATATCATATATCACATCTTCAGTATCATATGTAAAATCTCATAACCCACATAACTAAGTATAGACTTTCTTTATACAATCTGATTATTACAATATATTATAGCACCTCCATTCCTGCCAATTAAAATTCACATAAAATATTGGGAATATGAGAATTAAGAAAGTTTTTATTTAAAGCATGACAAATTAGTAAACCTTTAGTACACACCTTGATATTCAATTTTTTTCACAGAGGAAAAGTAAAAAGGAATTAATTCTCTTCCTATTTCTATCCTCAAGGCTGTTTTTCTTGCCAATAGTATCTACATAATGGTACATTTTCATAAACTTTCACTTTTGCTGAAAATGAGTTATAAAACAAACTTTTCTGAATTTTTTTGACTCTAAGTAATATCACAGTCATTTTTCCCTGTCAGTAAACGTGTTTCAACCTCATACCGAGGTGGGCTGGCATACAATTTATCAATTCATCTTACTTTATATTTTACCGAAGATAGGAGAAGAGAATTGCTAAATAGTAACTGTACCCTAGATAACTTGTTCCTCATGTTTCATTGTGTCACTATCCCTGCTTTTGCATACTGAGCTCTTCTAGAGAGCACTAGATTCCTCTCCTTCTGAACGAGTCATGTTCATTATTCTGTAGAGTCAACTTCTCCTTCTCTCCTCAATCATTCATCAACCTACAAGCATGCTGAAAATGTCTCCACTTAATAAGGTAAAACTTCCCGGTATCCACAACCACTTTCTGGGTCCTGCTTTATTTCTCTACTACTGTTAGAGTATGTGTACTCATTTTCTTTCCCCCCGATCTTACTTTATTACCCACATTCTTTCTTGAAATATTTCAATTTTGTATCCACCTCCTAATGATACATCTGTATGCAAAGTTACTAATGACTTTCAAGGAGCTAAACTTATTATTCAATTATCAAGCATCTTCTCAACTCCAAGCAGTCTTTACACATCTGCTGTCCTGTCAAATGATACTTTGAAATATATCCTTCTAATGTATGTCCTTGCTATTGCTTCTGGGATGCTAGCTGTGGTTTGGATGAGTGTCCCTGAAAGGTCCATATGTTAAAGGCTTTGTCCCTGGTGTGGTGCTATTACAGATGGAGCAACTTTTAGGCTGTGGGGGTTTTGTAAGAGGTCATTACGTTATTGGGAATACGTCCTCTAAAGGGCTTATGGAACCTGGCCCCTTCTTTTTTATTTACTCTGAGTGGTTGTGATGTAAGTGTCTTTTTTTTCAGCCACTGCTTCTTTCATGATGTGCCTTCTCACCACAGGCTCAGAGCAATGAGGTCAACCCATCACAGACTGAAACCTCCAACACATGCAAAATGAACTTTGTGTCTATATGCTGAGTATTTTGTTAAAGTAATGGAAGGCTGACTCACACAGCCTTCCCTACTTTTTCTCCAACAACTCTACCTGTTTCCTTCTTATAAGCCAGACCTTTAATGATGGGAGTCTCCAAGGCTAAGTCCCTCTGATATCCTTTTATATCCAGTTATCTCAGACTTTGTGTGATCCCATGACATACCATAGCTTTAAATATCATCTATGTAATAGCAACTACCAGATTATATATTCCAGTCCTGACCACTCCTACACTCTCGATTCTACATCTCAACCTGGACATTGAATAAATATATTTAATAAAATTGAGCATTCATCAGAAATTTCAGACTTCTTTCTTCTATGATCACTATTGGAGATATCTCTCAAAAAAAATTAAAAAGGCAGAATTGGATAGCTAGTTATCAATTTAGGTATACAGTGTAATAGGTAAGTCCTAAGTTTTTTTTCCTGTTCTGTAGATGAAAAAAGGAGATTAGTAACTTCTTTTTAATTGAGATTATTGAGAAAAGCTACTAACCAAAACAGTGTGGTAATGATTGCCATCGTCCATTTTTACACACAACATCTTTTGTCTCTGATAGTAGATAATTTTCTTTACAGAGAACAGCTACTTTTTCTCCATCCTGATAATTCACAGTCGTTATCATATTCTGAGCATTAGGTATCTGAGGTGGAGGTGGGCAGAGTTGTTTTTTTCCTACAAAATATTAAAGCTAAATTATTTCATAAGTACAAGTAAAGGAAAAAAACCCAGCTCAATAGGGTAGATAGAATGGAATATCCAATAAAAATTTTCCCATTCCTCTGTCTGTCTGTCTGTCTGTCTCTCTCTCTCTCACATACACACACACTCATGCATGCACACACACACTTCATGTTATAATAATGAGCATCATGCTTTGTTCTTATATACAAATTAAGCATTAAAATAAGAATTTTCTTGTTTCTTTTCTCTTGTCTTTCAAATTCAATTGTCCCAGGGTTTAAGGTAAAATGGTAAACAAGTTTTAAAAGATATACCAAGAGATTATAAAATATGTTCTGACATCATTAAACATTATTAATATAAGACGGTAAAGAAGTGAGTATTGAGGGCAGAAGTGAAGGCTTCAGCACTTAAGAATTTTCTGTATGCTATATCCAGTGTGCAGAGAAGGAAAGTAGGAAACTTTTTGGTGCTGGATTTGTACATGGAGACTCATGCATGCTAGGTGAGCACTGTACCACTGAGCTACATCTTCAGCTCTTGAAATCTCCTCAATAACCACTTTTCCTATGGAATTAATGGTACAGGAGAGTTCCTGTCTCATGCAAAAGAGAGTTTTAACTGAAGTAAAACTTCCAAAAACATGGCCACACCAATGACATCTTCCATTCTTACATCTCAGTGGATAGAATTATGCCTGCTGAAAAGGGCCAGCAGTAGGTTAATTTCAAAAAGCTCCACTCAAAAGGTCAGCTTAGAGGAGGGGTACAGCTCCAACAGAGAAATGGACTCTACATCCAGAGCTAATAGTTCTGTCAGGGTAAACACCCTTTGTAAAGGGAGACTTCCAGAATTGGATCTCTCTCAATAACTATAAATGCAGATGATATTTTTCTTTAGGCTTCTAATTTGTTTATTTAAAAAATTCCACTTTTTAATTTTAATCTACTTTTTGGTTGCAGAAATGTTTATTTTTGTCTGTCCTCCATTCTTCTTGGCTTGAGCCCACTTGGGTAGATAAGTCTGCTTATTAGCCTTTTCAAAAGATCAGTTTTATTGCTTGGATCAGGGTTATATTCTATTTCACTCACTTTTGCCTTTACTTTTATTATTTCCTTCTCCCTCTAATATATGAATTTTATTTTTCCTAGATTTTTAGCATATTTAAATTAATTTTTCCCTCCAACACAAAATAATTTAAGACTATAAATGTCACTCTAAATTTTGGTTAGCGTGCATCTCAGGTTTTACTACCTGTTCTTATAACTGTAATATAATTCTTAGTTGTTTAAAGATTATGTCATTATATCATTTGGACATAACAGCCTGCTATCCAAAATTAGAAGTGTAGAGTGGGAAAATTTTTATGAGTACTTTTAAATGTTAATTCATTGTAATTAGAGAAGTGTTCTATAAGATTTTAAAATTTGAATATTATGAGAATTATTTCATTAGCACAATAACTAATCAATTTAAATAAACATTTCACAGACAGGTAAAAGGTTGATGATTCTTTAAACTCTCAGAAACATTTTATTTCCTCAAATAGAAATAAAAGTATATATAATAAAATAAAAACATTTCAGTTTTTATACAAATTTGTAGGCACCTTATCATCTTGAAATTGTTATGCACTTAAATTTAATAATAAATTCCAACATTTTATCACCATTTCCAATGATATTACAATCTTTTGTTTTGAGTCAGTATTTCATCATGTTGATGAATATGTAGTATGACTTCTTTCAAATTTGACCTCGAGTGGTTAATTCCCTTAGTTTTTTCCTAGGTTGAAAATTTATTTATTCTGCAATCATTAGTAAATAATGTCAGGTATAGAATAAAAGTTTACCATTTGCTTTCTCAAATATTTTGACAATATTAGTACGTTTTCTTCTGGCTTCATGAGGCACTCTGTCACTTGAGCCATATCCCCAGCCCAGCAAGGTGTTTTAAACAAATCTTACCTGTGCAGTCTGGCTCAGGCTCCCACTTCCCATTTACACAGACTGCTTGCATGTAGCTGGGATTCCCAAGACATCTGTAATTTATTCTGGCACTATGATTAAATTCATTCAAATATGGTACGATGAACATTCTCGAATAAAACCTTGGTCTTTCACACCTCTTAACCTGGTGTGTTGCTATAAAGATGAATATATTTATACATGATAGGAGTATTAAACATAAATAAATTATTATTGAAATAAATATGTCACATACAAATAGTGTAAATAAATTATATTTTATGCTTTTAAACATCACAAAAATTATTCTTGATATCATTGCATAAAATAGACTATACTGTATTGAAAAAAATTAAAATGGGAACAAAAACTGTATCCCATTTTTTAATGACAGAAATATATATCAGAAAGTTTTCTGGGAAAGACAAGTGCAGGATGGGTTTCCTTGGTTCAGGAATTTTGACTAGAGAGCAGTCCCACAGGAAATACATTTACCTAATTTTAAAAAGGTCCTGAAAATGTACACATATATCATTGCTTCCACTAATATATGTTAAGTTAATATCTTCAGAACATTTAAAGATAAAAAGAGACAACGCATGACTAAGTGCAGAAAGTATAGTAAATCTGTGGGATTTCAGACACTTAGCTAAAACTCTAGCTCAACAAATCAAAGTGTGCTCAAGGACAGAACTCTGACAGTGACGTCATTGAACCTCAGAACATGCATTTCTAGTGGCCTCTTGATTGTCTAGGTAGCTTACATTGTTACAATTTTTTCTTGCTCCCCAGAATAGATAGATAACTACTGAGCCTTTTCTTATGTGTGTCAAAGGATGGGATAATGAAACCTGGAGTGTGCTCTGTTACTACTGTGCTTACAAACATTTTTCTGCAATACTTTCTACTTTAAATTTGCCCCACATCATAATGCTGCAGTTGGATGTTTGTGTCCTTGCATAAAAATTGATGACCATGAAGATATATGGTCTCTATTTCCTTATAGAAGAGTTCAAGTTCTTGGGAGAAGACATTCCCTCACAGTAAGTCAGCATCGATGGTCAGTGACCATTTATCTGCCAGGTCCATGGGGATGAAACAACTACAGTATCCTTTCCCAGAAGGGAGTGAGCTGGCAGATAATCCAAAAGCACAGGAGGTGGAGGGGGGAGGTTTTAGGCTGCCTACTTAAGATTTTGGAAGAAGCGCAGCTGAGTCTGCTCATCTTTAAAACTCAAAATTAGAGACTTTAATGTATTGGGGTTGCAAGAGATAGGACAAAAGAGGTTTAGATGTCAGAAGATCAAGGGAAAAAGAAAAAAATTGTGAATATTTTTGCACTACAGCTAGAAAGTCCTGGTGCAATTAGAATGCAAGGAAAAAGTAGAGCACACAGAATGATGGAATGACAGAAAAACCTGGAATGACCTCCACTACTGTTGTGGAGGAAGTATAGACAAGCTCATCATCAGATCTGGAATAGAGTTATGTGATTTATGGTGACAGGAAGAGCAGGCATAAAGCCTACTTTATCCAAATTCCTACTCCAAACACTCTAGAATTTAATAGAACTCAGGCTACATAATTGCAATTTTGGTTGCTGTTTTCAGAACATGCTGAGATAAAAACAAAACAGAAGCAATGTAATAAAAAATTAAATTATAATTATTTATAGAAATATAATGTCCAAATTCAATACTAAAACCAATACAGAAACTCAACAAGGCCAATGGAAACCAAATCAATATCCACAATTAAATTATATTTTTATATATAGAAAGTACTCAAACATATAAATTAATAAAAGATCCCATTCATCATACCAGAAACTGAATAAATGGATTGATATATCAAATTCATGGGAGGAAGAGTCAATATCAATATAATTGTAATATTAGTCAGATTTATACTTTTATGCAATCCCAATCAAAATTGTAAGCAATCAGATATAAAGTTTAGAAGGGTATTCTTACCAACACACTTTGGAAGCTCTGTCCACATTCCACTAATACAGGTGATTGTATTATTTCCAATCATTGTATATTTATTTCTGCAACTCAACTCCACTGACACTCCGTGTTGATAGGGAGGGACTGAGAGCTGGATGTAGCCATTCTCGAGTTTAGGTATATTTCCACATGTTTTTGTTTCTTCTAGGAAAATAAAGTATATCTATTTATAAATAAGTTGTTTGAAATATGCTTACATATTAACTTTAAAATACTTGAACTCATCTGACATACATATTTATATGGAAGTGGAAAGTAAAGTCACTGTGTGGAGTGTGTGCTAAAATATTGGTATCTATTTACCAACACAAGTGGGCAAAATTGTCCATTCTCCATCCATACATTGTATTTTTTGAGGCCCCTTCATTGTGCAATTGGGATTGCATTCATATTCCACCACTTCACTGTGTCTGTATTCCTCTTTCTGTATCTCCTTAATTTTACCATTGGGGAGCTGAGGAGGCGGACCACACGATTGCACTTGCCCTATGATAAAGGAAATGTCAGCAGTGCTTAAATGGAATTACAATCATAAATTTAGCAAAATGTGGAATTACTATTTTGGTTAATTTAAAGCTTATTTACATTGATACTGCATTCCTATTTTTTTCAGGTTTGTTTTTGATGGGTACACAGTAGATTGAACATATTGATTTTTCTCAAATCCTGATTTGTTCTCATGAACACTTTTCAGCAAATGACAGAAGAAAGAATGCATAAAAGACACACATAGTAGTCACCTGGATATAAAAATGTCACACTTTTCCTACTTGCCTCACTTATTTTTGTGAAGTAATTTTAAGTAATTGATAAATACTCTCAAATTTACTTCTAAATTCATCAGAATACCTAACACTCCTAAATACTCCTAAATTTATTCCTAAATTGAATTTACTCCTAAATTCATCAGAACACCTATCTAGTAATTGGAGACATTTGACTATATATATGAAACATCTTATTATATTTCACCAAATTAATAATAATTTCCTAATGCCATCTTATGCCCTCTCTACAGACAAATGTCCTGATTGCTCTCCTCACAATAGGTTGCAGTACATGGGTGGCTCATGCCTGCAATCTTAGCTACTTGAAAGACAGAGATCAGGAGGATAGTGATGCGAGGCCAGCCAGGGCAAATTGTTCCCGAGATCCTATCTCCAAATTTACCAGAGCAAAATGGATTGGATGTGTGGCTTAAGCAGGAGAGTGCCTGCTTTGTGAGTATGAAAGTTCAATCCCATCAAAACCAAAACTAAAACTATCTATCTATCTATCTATCTATCTATCTATCTATCTATATACATAAACATATATGTACACATATATATAGTAATTCCAGACAGATGTATACATATATTCATTCTATAGATTATTATATTGAGGATATTAAGTTATGCTCTTAAAGACTTTAAAGTAAGTCAGTCTGGATATTATATAAAAGTAAATTGTTACATGTTATGACATATGCATGTAAAATATAATTACAGTTTGAATTGCTTAATGACAATAGGTACCTAAAATAATTTAGTAAAGTGTTTTGGTGTCATCAGAAATAGGTAACAAATCTTCATTACTTTCTACTGAACAATTAAGATATAACTTGATTATTTCCCTAGGCACACAATTATATGACAAGGCCTTTACTATTTCTCCATTTTAGGGACCATATTTTTATTTGTAAAAACAGTCATATGTTTCAAAACATGGAAGCAGAGTTACTCTTTGATTAAGGAAACTTAAATGATTTATGCAGTCATCCCTCCTCCCCTCCAATTAAAATACTACCTTTCACATTCTTCTATTTTCTGAGATTATAGATGTAATATTAGTGCCACTAAAATGCAGACATTAATATAAAATATAATTTTTTTTCATCACATTTCTAAAATTAATACTGACCTTTGCATGTTGGAAAGTTAGGTGACCACCCAAACTGGTAGCACTGAACTGAATCTGGTCCAACTCTTTTAAGTCTTTGTCTGCAGGAAAATTTCAACAAATCTCCAACTTTATATTTTTCTTGTTTTGGACGGGCATCTACATTTGCTTCTAAAACTGGAAGAGGACATTCTCTTTCTAAGAATAAAATGAAAATAAACACATAAGATTTACATTGCAAGAATAAATTTAGTACAATCTGTACAGCAACAGATGCTACAGAAGAGCATAACACAGCTTTGACTTCAAAAAACACGTAAAGTAATTATTTATACCCTCAAAGTATGTCTAAAATCCTTTAGACAAATTAGAAAATTCAGAGCAAACAAAAAATTTGCCTGAAAATCTCTTTAGGATCATAATAGGAAAGTCCTAAGAAGTAACTTATAAAGGAAATTGTTTATTACATTATTTAAAACATTAAGTTATAATTTAATATTTTTTCCTAAAAGGTAAATCACTTATTACTGTATAAAATAGGATATGAATAGTTTTCATATCTAAACCACAAGAAAATAGTTATTAAAGTAATAATTAAAAGTAAGCATATTTAGTTGTATTTTCCATAAAAATGGTAAATTATGTTTATAATATAACATTTTATGTTTATGTGCACCACATTCAATCTCTTACCCTTTCTCCACCACCTCCCCCTTCCACCAGTGCCAACTCCCCACCCCTAACTGGTTCTGCCCTCCTGTTCTCTGATTTTGTAGAAGAAAAAAACATAAAAGATAATTTGAGATAAAGACAGCTACACAGGGAGAGTCCTTGTGTTGTTTTCCATGCACATGTGTATTACAACTCATATGATAAGATGGTTCATCTCTACCAGGCCTCTTTACCCTTCCCTAGTCCCCTTCCCATGGTGGCCTCTGCCAGTTTAAGATTTCTATATTCATTCCTGTACAGTGAGCACATCTAGCACATTCAAGTTTTTGGTTTTCTTGTCTTGCCCTATCCCTCCCATGCATGGCCTCCACTTAGTGTGACCTGTGTCCCATAATATTCTCCATTTGTTTTAGGTTTGTAATCCACATATGAGGGAGAAACATGCGGCTTTTGTCCTCTGAGCCTGGCTAAGTTCACTAAAGAAGATGTTCTCCAGTTCCATACATTTACCAGCGAATGGCAAAATTTCATTCTTCTTTGTGGCTGAGTAAAATCCCATTGTGTATAAATATCACATTTTCTTCATCCAGTCATCAATAGTAGGGTATCTTGGCTTTTTCCATAGCTTGAGTATTGTGAATAGTGCTGCAATAAACATGGGTGTGCAGTTGCCTTTGTAGTGATCTGACCCACATTCCTTTGGTTATAGCCCTCTAGGAGTGGTATTGCTGGATTTTATGGCAGATCTATGTTTAGTTTTTTAAGGAGCCTTTGTATTGTTTTCCATAGTGTTTGTGTGAACTTACGTTCCCACCAACAGTGTACAAGGGTTCCTTTTTCCCTTGTATCCTCACCAACATTTGTTGTTGGTGGTGTTTTTGATGATAGCTATTCTAACAGAAGTGAGGTGGAATCTTAGTGTGGTTTTGATTTGCATTTCCTTTATGGCTAGGAAAAAACATGAACATTTTTCAAGTGTTTTTTAGCCATTTGAACTTCTTCCTTTGAAAAAGTTCTGTTCAGTTCATTTGCCAATTTTTTTATTGGGTCATTGGTTTTTTTGGGGAGAGTTTAGTTTTTTGAACTCCCTGTATATTCTGGTTATCAGTCCCTTGTCTGATGTATAGCTGGCAAAGATTTTCTCCCACTCTGTGGGCAGCCTCTTCAATTTAAAGACCATTTATTTTGTTGCGCAGAAGCTTTTTAATTTCATGTAGTCCCATTTGTCAATCCTTTTTCTTAGTTGCTGGTTGGCATAAGTTCTACCGAGGAAGTTCTTGCTTATGCTTATTGATTCCAGAGTATTCCCTGCTGTTTCCTGTATTAGCTTCAAGGTTTCAGGTCTGGTCTTAAGGTCCTTAATCCACTTTGAGTTGATACTTGCACAGGGTGACAGGCATGTTTCTGCAGGCAGATAACCACTTTTCCCAGCAACATTTGTTGAAGAGGCTGTCTTTTCTCCATCGTATGTTTTGGCAACTTTGTCAAAAATAAGGTTGGCATAGCTGCATGGATTCATATAGAGGTCCTCTTTACTGCTCCACTGGTGTACATATCTGTTTTTGTGCCAGTACCATGCTGTTTTTATTGCTATGGCTCTGTATTATAGTTTGAAATTGGATATTGTGATACCTCCATCATTGCTTTTTGCTCAGTATTGCCTTGGCTATTTGTGATCTTTTGTGTTCCCAACTAACCTGTAGGGTTGATTTTTCAATCTCTGTGTCATTGAGATTTTGATGGGAATTGCACTGAACATGTAGATTGCTTTTGGTAGTATAGCCATTTTTACTATGTTGATTTTGCCTATGTACGAGCATGGGAGATCTTTCCACCTTCTGTAGTTTTCTTTGATTTCTTTCTCCAATGATTTGTAGTTCTCCTTGTAGAGGTCATTCACATCCTTTGTTAAGTTTATTCCTAGGTAGTTGATTTTTTTTGAGGCTATTGTAAATGGAATTATTTCCCTATATTCTTTCTCAATCTGTTTATTGTTGAGATATAAAAAGGCCACTGATTTTTATAAGTTGATTTTGTATCCTGCTACTTTGCTGAAGCTATTTGTGGAGATTTTTTGGGGTCTTTTATGTATAAGATCATGTCATCTGTGAATGGGGATAGTTTGACTACTTCTTTACCACTTTGTATTCCTTTTATTATTTCCTGCCTTATTGTTCTGGCTAGGAATTCCAAGACTATGTGGGAGGAGGGTGGGCACCCTTATCTCATTCCTGACTTTAGGGGAATTGCTTTCAGTTTTTTCTCATTAAATATGATGTTAGTAAAAATTTGTCATATATAGCCTTTATTGTGTTGAGGTACATTCCTTCCATTTCTAGTTTCATCAGAGCTTTTATCATGAAATGGTGTTGAATCTTATCAAAGGCTTTTTCTGCATCTATTGAGATGATCAAGTGGTTTTTGTCTTTGCTTCTGTTAATGTACTATATTACATTTAAGTTGGTGAAGCCAACTTGATCGTGGTATATGAAGTTGGAGGGAACATTAAAAAGCAAATTATTTTATAAATTGGTAACTAAATATCAAAGACTTTATTTCATTTTGAAACTTTGGTTAACATATATTAATTATACATGTTAATTGGGTTTATGATTCAATATAGGTATGCAGGATACAGTTTTCAGATTCAGCCTTCCTTTATCCACCTTTCTCTCTTTCCCAACTTCTAGTAATAACTATTCTTCATTCAGGTTGACATTTTTTCATTCTAACTTCTTACTAAGAGAAAGAACATGTGGTATTTGTCTTTCTGTGTCTGGCTTATTTCACTTAACATATTGTCTTCCATTTCCATCCATTTCACTACAAATGACAGGATTTCATTCTTTATTATGGCTAATGCATTACTTTCAGTAATATGGATAATGCAAATGGGATTACCCTCATGATTTCTTTCTCAGCAATCTTGCTATTGGTATACAAAAATGCTAATGGATTTTGTATGCTGCATTTGTATCTTGAAACTTTAGTGAGAGTGAACATCCTCTTCTTTCTTATTCCAAATCTTAAGAGAATTTTCAGCTTTTGGCTTTCCCCCAGTCAGTATGGTGCTGGCTGTGGGCATGCCAAGTCACCTTTATTATGCTGAAGCATAATCATTCTATATGTTATTATTAATGGGTTTTTATGAAGAGTTGTTGAATTTTATTAAATTCTTTGTCTGCATCTATTGATATGATCATGTAATTTTTGTCCCTCATTCTATTTCTTATAATATTTTTTATTGATTTATATGTGTTGAACCATTCTTGCATTCCTGGAATAAATTTCATTTAGTCATGCTGAGTGATGTGCTATTGGATTTGATATGCTCATATTTAGTTGAGAACTTTTAAAATCTATATTTATCAGAGATATTGGTTCACAGTTTTCTTTATTTGTTGTGTCCTTGTTTAGTTTTGATATCAAAATAATGTTGGCTTTGTAGAATCAATTGGAAGAGTGACCTCCCTTTCAATTCTTTGGAATACTTTGAAAATAACAGTTTTCATTTTTTACTTTAAATATTGACAAGCCATCCATCCAATTCTTTTCTATGTTGGAGACTTTGTTACTGATTTAGGTCTGTTTGGATTTTCTCTGTCTTTATGACACAAATTCAGTAGTTACATATGCCCATAAATTTACTGTATCTTCTAGATTTTCCAATTTGTTGGTGTATAGTTGTTCATAACAGTCTCCTATAATCCTTGATGTCTTTCTGATATCACTTGTAACATCTCTCTTTTCATTTATTTCATTAACTTGTGTTTTTTTTCTTAGTCTAGCTAAAGATTTGCCAATATCATTTATTTTTCAAACTCTTGCTTATCTTTTAAACTCTGTTTCTCTGAAGTTTGTGTGTTTTTAATCTCTACTGTACTTATTTCTGCTCTGATCTACTGTACTTATTTCTGCTCTGATCTTTATTTTTTCCCTTCTACCAATTTTTGGGCTTGGTTTGCTCTTATTTTTCTAGTTCCTGGAGTTGCAGTCCTAGGTTGTTTATCTGAAATATTTTTTCCTTTTTTGATACAGAAATTTATTAATATAAACTTCCCTCTTAGCATGGTTTTTAGTGTGTCTCATAAGTTTTGATATGTTGCATTTCAATTTGAGTTTGTTTCCTGAAAATTTTGAATTTCTCTTTTGATTTCTTCCATTGTTTGTTGGTAGCATGTTCTTGGGTCTGCATGAAATGCTGTACTTTCTCAGCTTTCTTTGTTGTTAATTTTTAGTTTTGTTCCATTGTCATCAGAGAAAATATATAGTATGTTCTGATTTTTTTTGAGTTCATTGAGATTTGGTTTTGGCCTAACATATGGTCTTTTCTATAAGTTCAAGAAAAGAATGTACAGTTTGTATTTGTTGGATGGATGAAATATCTTCTAAATCTGTGTTGCCCATTTGATCACCAGTATAATTTAACTATGCTTATTTTTTTGTTAATGTTTTGTCTGGATGATCTGTCCATTGATGAATGTAGGGTATGTGATGTATTGGACCCTATCTCCCCATTAAGATAC